GAGGACGGCTGGGTGGCTTCGGGCGCGGCCCGCGGCTCCGGCCCGTTCGCGTCCGTTGCTCTTACTCCCGGCTCACCGTTCACACTCGCCTTCACACCCTTCCTCGCGGGCCGGGGCTGCGGCTCCGATGGCCTGCAGCGGCGGGCCCTGGGGCTGCGGGGACCCCCGAGGTTTGCGCCCTGTCGAGGGGCCGAGCCCTGACGTGCCCCCTGTGTCTCCGCAGTGAAGGAGGAGGGCGACCGCGAGATCTCGAGCTCCAGGGACAGCCCCCCGGTGCGCCTGAAAAAGCCTCGCAAAGCCCGCACCGCCTTCACCGACCATCAGCTGGCGCAGCTGGAGCGCAGCTTCGAGCGGCAGAAATACCTGAGCGTGCAAGACCGCATGGAGCTGGCCGCCTCGCTCAACCTCACCGACACGCAGGTCAAGACCTGGTACCAGAACCGCAGGTGAGGTTTCGCTGCGGGGTGGGGGCGGCAGGGCTGCTTCTGGAGCCTAGGGGGCCTACCCCGTTCTGCAAAGGTAGGGAAACTGAGGCACTGAGGCTCTGGGAAAAGACCTTGCCCTAAGTCCCACAGTGAGGGACAGAAAGTACGCTAGACTAGGATCCAGGACAGGTGAACCTGCAGACAGAACTCCAGCCCCGCTCCACCCCAGTCCAAGGAAGTCCCCAAGGACAGCCCTTGGCCAGGCTCTGGGCTCATCAGATGGAAGGCCCCAGCCCTTAGCGGAGAGGCAGCTCCAGTCTCCGGAAGGCAGAGGGGTCCCTGAGGTGGCTGTAGCAGGGGTCAGTGGTGACTGCTTGCATCTCGGGAGCATTTCCTCTTTGGGCCTCCTAGCGTTTACAGCCAGGAAGGGGCTCTCTGCCCCACCCCAGCTCCTCTGGGATGGAGACACTGGTATTAAGACACTGGTCTTGAACCTGCTCGTTCATCGCCTTCTTGGACAGGCTTTAAATGCATAGGAACACTGCACGTGCACAGACGCGACAGTCTGCGCGGTGACACACACTCTACAGGCTTAGCAGAGGCAGCGATGGTGCCTTCATAAACAAGCCTCGGAACACACAGCCCCATTAATAATAAATACCGATTACTGCTCCGGGCATCAATAATTAAGGCTCATTGCAGTAATTACACAATTATGACGATGGTGAATTATTCAGGGGTGGGGGGAAACGGGGCTAGCGCGACTGAGCCCACCTCAGCTTCAGTGGAACCCGGGCAGGCATACCCAACCACTCCAGGCTTGCCTGCCTCGCCTGCCTCGCCCTGGGCCTCCCAGCTTTGGGGCCAGAGGGTCTTAGGGTTAGCTAGCCCCAGGTCTCAAACCTGGGGGTCTGAGGGTAGGCAGAGCCGGGAGAGAGAGTGTGTGCATTCCTCCAGAGAAATCTTCACTTGGAGTCCCAGCCTGCCTGCTTGAAGTCCAGGCCCTGGGGCTCCACGGGGTGGAGGTAAGAAAGAGGGGCCCAGACACAGCAGCTCAGCCACCCTGTCTGACACTCCGCTTTCATTGGGCCTTCTCAGAAGAAGCATATCCAGAGGGCGCCCCAAGATTTGAGTTTGTAAGTGAACTTGGGAGCTAGACAATCTGGCTTGGAGCAGGGGCTCTGCCTGCCTCTTTGCAGACTATAATGAAAACTGGTTCACGCCTCAAGCTTTTAATCTGTAAAATGGGGACAAAGGCATGGAAAGCCAGTGGACGAGGGAGTGATGCTTGACGCATTTGACATGGGCACTCCATTATTTATTAACAATCAGCATGTTCTCTGTTGGCCGTCCTGCGGCTCTCTGTGCCAGTCACGAGGAAGGGGCAAGGGTGGTGAGTGTCCTAATCCTGACCCCTTCGTCCGTCTTTATTTTGATTCCTAGGACCAAATGGAAGCGACAGACCGCCGTGGGGCTGGAGCTGCTAGCGGAGGCAGGCAATTACTCTGCGCTCCAGAGAATGTTCCCGTCGCCTTATTTCTACCCGCAGAGCCTCGTTTCCAACCTGGACCCGGGCGCAGCACTCTATCTGTACCGCGGCCCCAGCGCGCCGCCACCCACCCTCCAGAGACCTCTGGTGCCCCGCATCCTTATCCACGGACTCCAGGGCGCCAGCGAGCCGCCCCCGCCGCTGCCCCCGCTGCCCGGCGTCCTCCCGCGCGCCGCGCAGCCTCGGTGAGGCGCCCGCTTGCCCCTAGCCGTGCTCCGGGACCCCCAGCCCAGGCGGGGCGCGGATCCCTCCCTTCGCCCCGGGGCGGGGATGCCGGGCTCACCGCCGCGGCCCAGTGTCCCCGACGGGGGGATAAATCCACTGAGGCTACCCCTCCCTGCGTCCTCTCTCCTGGCTACTCCACCCGGGAGAACTTACACCCGCCGGATGTACATAAGCGCCCCTGCCCGCCTCCCATCCACCTCCGGGTCCCCTGTCCCCTCGGGAGCTGGTAGGGGACGCCGGTGCCCAGCCCCGGGCCCACCTTTCTTCCCGCACCTCGGCGGGACAGGGCTGGTGGGAGCTTCCCACCCATTTCCTTTCCTCTCCCTGAGCCCCGGGCTAGCGGCGGACCTGTACATACAGTGTGCAAAGTGTATATGAAGTTATTTATTCGTGACCCCTGAGCCCGTGACCGTGTCCGTGAATCAGTTGAGAGTCTGTGGCCTGTGGCCTCCCCGTCCCAGGTGGGGCAGGGGGGGACCGAGAGGGCTTGTCCACGCATCCTGGCCCCCATCCTCGCCCCCTCCACCCAGGTCCTGGGGCAGCCAGGCCTCTTGGGTTCTTTTTTTAAATGTGGAAATAAACTTCTTACAAATGCCAGGCGCCTGTCCGCGCTACCGTCCGTTGATTCCCGCTCAGGCCCTCTCCCATCCCTTCCTTCGTAAAAACTTCTCTCAAACTACAATTCCTTTCAATCGCAAGAAGTTGGTCTCCCTCTTGCCCTTCTCCTGGGTTCCTGGGTGCAGGAGACCCCGGCTGGACTCCCGGGGGTCTCCCGAGTTTTCACACAGAGACGAGCCCGTGGCCGCTCTCGGCTCCCCGTCTGATTCGTCCCTTTTCCACACCATCCTGGGGCCTTGGACGGGGCCAGCGCCGGCCTCCCTCTGCTGCGTGCCTGGCCGCGAAGCACTCGCTGAGCCGACTCATCTGGCTCAGGCCAGGGCCGGCAGCTGGTGACCGGCCCTGCGGGCGCGGGGCAGACAGATGGACTCCGAGGCGGCTCCTCGTTGCCCCATCCTCCTCAGCCCGGCGCCCTCCGCTCTGGCTACCCGCAGCTCCTAGTCTCAAATGCCTGGTAGGACCCCGTGGGCCTTCGCGAGCTTGACGCCACGTCGGGCAACCCTTTGCTCGGTCTCCATCCTGCCCATCCCCCTGCCCTGGGAGGAAGTGGGAGGGGGTGAGGGGTGAGATCGCGCCCCCCGCCTCTGGCTCAGAGATCCCAGGGGAGTCAGACTCCAGATCACGTTCGAAGGGCCAAGGTCATCTCCCGACACCCGTCTGTCTCCCGGAATATGGGCGCAGGTGCTCCTCCTCCCCCACACCACCTGCAGCACACTGACCTGCAAGATGGAAGAAATGCCGGGGAGTTTGGATGCTTGCAAGCCAAACACTCTCCCAGCGTTTCTGGCCCAACTGTTCTGGGAGAGAAGCGAGCGGTGGAGGGAGGGGCGCGTTCAGAAAGCACCCGCTTCCCCCCTAGCCACAGCCAGTTCGGCTACTGTTTCCTCCCCAACCCCCAGCATCCTCACACCCGGGCTTTTCTTTTTCTGGGATGGTGGGGTATTATTCTAATTTTGCAAAATGCACAGCAGCTAATTAAGTCAAGGAGCCCCTCGGCTTTCAAGTTCTTTTGCATGTGAATGCGAGTTGGTAAATCCCTCGATCTGGCTGTGGTGGGGTGTGAAGGGGGACTGTCCCCAACTCAGGGTTAATGAAGTGGGAAAGGAGTCTCTCATAGCCTCCTGCAAACAAAACCCCCCAAGCAACAAACCCTGCCCAAATCCTACACGGATTGACTTAAACCCAGGGGATAAGTGCTTTAAATTAATCTCATTGAATAAGAATGAGACCAAACAAAACTCTTTAAAATCATATTAAAAATCTATCAAAGGACAACTTGCGGTGGTGTGCTTTTCATTTTGTGAGCGTGGAGGAGGCAGGCTAGAGCAGCCACCCTCACATTTACACAGTGCAGTGTAAACCGCAGACACATTCTGACTATGTAATTGTCCTTGTACCGCAGAGGCGATTTCATATCTTACATTAATGAAGAACAAGGCTTCCCTACAAGTTTATAATTACAATATTTTAAATTGTCCTGCACATCCCGTCTGTAATAATAACTTCACAACCTCAGCAGTGAGGTGGGCTCACACTTCCCACCAGTTTAGAAGGCTAAATTGGTGTCTCTGTTCCTAACCCTGGGACTGGGTGCCCTCACTTAAAACGGGAAAAAAAGGACCATGAGACCCCCATTGGACCAAACAATAAGCAGGCCCCGGAGGGCACTCTCCCTTCTAAATCTGGACTACAAAGAGCAGAACAACAAAGTTGCCTCCAGCTGCAAAGCTTCTGGAACCTGGGCTGCTTCTTTTTCGGGAGTGGGGGGGGGGGCACTTATGGTCCAGCAGACTAATAAAGTTTGATAGTCACAGGCAAATGGGGAAGGCCTGGCAATCACTGCTCAATTAGGGAATGTGTCACTGGCTTGAGGGTCCAATCTCTGGGAGTGAAGATTATGTGGACCAAACTACAAGCAGCTTAGCATCACGGGCACCAAAAGGCCCAATCTCTTCTTCCCTCTTGGGTCAGGGAGGAGAGAAATCAGAGCAGCCCGATTTCCAATTAGAACTGTTGTCAGTTGCGCTATGCTTGGCTCTGGCTTCTTCGGGAGTGGAGGATCCCCATGATGTCCCACTGCAGAGAGCGGCTCACCAAGAGCTCCCGCCCTCCAGTAGTGGCTCCTCACCAGACAGCAGCTGAGGAGGGCTTTAGGACGCTAAACAAGCCTGCTACAGCCGCCATCTGAATCTTCTGAGACTTTAATATGGCAACCAGGCTGATGTCAGAGAAACGCTAAGTCTGGGACTGCAGAAAAAGTTCTGATTGAAAATACACAGAATCAGACTAACACTGAGATAACACTGTGTCCAACTGATCCCTGGGACGCACAACCGATGAAGATCCTCCGTGAGCGTCATTTTAAGGTTGTTTACATTTAGAGAACATTAACCCTTACTCCGCTCAGTCTGTCTCCTTATTGACTGGGTACCCAGCATCTCTTACAGGATGCCCTTGCTAAGTTAGAAAACTACATGTGCACATTTCAAGTTTAGGGTGAGAGTCACTGTTATTTCAGTAATGTCCCAGCACACCTCACAGTGCTGCAGCTGAGCTGTTAGGGGCCATTTGTTGGGAGGCAGATGCAGGTTTTCAGGTAGCCATCCCTGACTACATTATCTAAACCTGTTTCCACACAGCTGGCTGAATCTTGATAGTCTGATCCCTCATTTCCCATCAGAAGCACGTGAGTCATTACAAATCCAAAGAAAGGTGGCTGATTTGTCCAGTCAGTTCAACACCTGCTGCAGCTTCAAATTACCCTTACAAATCTCACCAACCAGACTGCTGATGTTGGTGACTGCAGCCCTGGCAAGGCCATGCTTACCATCCACAGGGGTTTTTCCTAGTGTGGGTGTTCACTGACCTTCCCCCTTGCCTGGGCACTGTAGCACTTACCCTAGGGCTTTGGAGGACCTGGGTGGGCTAGGCACACAGTAAGCCAGAGGAAAGCAGGCATAGCGTGGTGTCTGAACACAGCGTGCAGAGCTTTAACCCTTTCTCTCACGAGCCCTCTGCAGTGTCCAAGTCTTAACATTTATTGGGAAATCAATACGCTCTGGGGGTCCTCTTTCAAACTTTCAGAAATACAATGGTTTGTGGGTTCTGGGTCTAGGTCACACACAAAGACCTCAGACCTCGAAGAGAAGACAGGTTTCGATGGCAAAAGGCAAGCTCACTCGGTACTGGTGCCCTTTGATTTCAAAGGCAAATAATAAAAAGGCAACAATAAACCAATTAACCCAGAGACAGCGAGTTGTATGCGGATATGAACGGGGGGGTGAAGGGGGCAATGCACATGACACTGTGCCGTGCTTATAGAAGAAAGCAGCGTTGCTGCCAACACATGCAGGTTTTGACCCAAAGTAAAAGCTCTCTTGGCCTTCCTAACAAAACATGTGGACTTAGAAAATAACTAGTCAACAAATACTTTTTCCTTTTGTACAAGTTCAATTCCAGTTTAAACATTCCATCCTACAAGACTCATGCAATACACATGTGGCTGCTTCCTCTGGCAAGCTTCCCAGGAACCACACTCCTCAGCCTGAGGCACAGGATGCTTGCTATCCCTGTGGACAATCTCACAAGAGGCCTGGGCAAAGGTGGTGACTGTGTAGCACTGGCCCCTGCCTGCTGCTTTCCTTCAGGTGTCCTTCAACAGGTGAGGTCTGTGTTCCTGCGAGCCTCCACTCAGGGAGAGGTGCTAGTTATTTTTCAAAAGAACAGGACACCAATCTCAAGCCATCTTGGATCCACCCTGATCTGGTCCTATAGAAATTTAAAACAATCAATAGAAGTTTGCTAGGCAGTGGTGAGCCTTCTGGATGTAGAAGCAGCTTCATTCTTTCCACAGCCCGGGCTTGCTGGGTGCCACCTGGAAGCTCTGCAGCTTGCCTTGCTTTCTGCCCTTCATGCCATCGGCCTCCAGCCCACTGGAGTATTCTGAGCGCAGGACTTCAGCAAGCACAAGGTGGTGCTTACTCTGGGTCTTCCTCTGAGGGTTGGGCCTGAGGAACAGTAACAGCAGAGGGGAAGACACATTAGTGTTTTTCTTTCTCGTCTGGAAAGAATCTGACAGCAGCTGGTTGTGAGACCAGGAGGCTGACATTTTTGTATTAGCAGAAGAGCGATCTCTTCAATAGCACTTGTTTTGATATTCTATGCACCAGAAGATTAGATACGGTGCTGACAGATTTTCATAATGGTGGCAAAATATCATGGCATTTTTAAAAAGTGAGGCTTTGTTCTGTGTTGTTTTCATGAGGGGGAAAAAAAAAGAAGAAACCTACACTCTTACACTCCGATGGCAAATGAGGTGTATGAGACAGCAGTTTATCCATAGATGATGGGAAGGCCCACAGAAACCTGATAATGCAAAGCAGTTAGCTGCAAAGATTTCATGTGCAGGGCTTTTGGGGGTGAACCCTTGCAGGCAGACAGTAGGCACAGCACCCTGCTAGGCCAGGTATCTATACAGATGCTCCAGCACATTAGAGTGCAGAAGACACACTGATCCCACAAATCCAAGCCCAAGTGTGTTTGAGCACAGCTGCTATACAGACCTGGGGCTAGAAGGAGATCATTCCTTGCCCTGATGCACAAGATACCAAAGCCTGACATCAGGTTCAGTACAGAAGCCCAGAAACTTCAGCAAAGGCAGTGGTCTCACACTTTGGGTCAGAAGGGGAAATTTGTAGAAATTCAACCGCACAGTGAAGAGTTAGAATGGAACCAGAAGAATAAAACACACCAACTCAGAGGCAATGGCCAAGAAGTCCGTACTGGCTTCCTGGCAAGTCCTTCAGTACCATTCGATAGCAACCCAGGCAAACTCCGTGTAAGAAGCTCAAGAAAGGCCACTGGCTGCTCTCTGACATGACAGTGTGTTCTGTGCTGTGGTAGTCAGAAACTGTGGTCAAAATAAACAGTCCTTTAAAGTCCAAGAACTAGACACAGGCAGCACTGTGCTCTTAGCCTGATTAGGAAGGATTGAAAAACCCCATTATAATAAAGGTGAAGCTATTTATAATCCTATCCAGAGCATAAGGCTGCAGTTATAAGAACCTGTTCTTTCTTGCAACAGAAGAAGAGTCAGCCTTTGCCAGGGAAAAAGACTTGAGGAAAAGATGTATTAGCAAGGATATTTAGAGCTTTATTTATTCAGGAAATGTGCCGAGGCAGACCTCAAGACCACTAGCATCACACATCCCTGCATCCATGTTCTCCTCATTTTACAGGTAAGCACCATGGACTGGAGGAGGATGAGAACTTGCTAAACCCATGTACCTGGCAGAGGCAGGAGTAAAGTGCTAGCCAGGCAGAGGCTGCTGTGGGGATCATGCTGAGGCTTGGACACTGAAAACTGTCACCAGGTCTGCTTGGGGTGAAGGCAGGGTTCTACTTACTGTCCCCCACCTCCTAAAGAGTAACGATGCTGACCCTGAACTTTTCCTCATATGGACTGCATGGCTCTGGCTACCATCTGACCTTCCAGGCCTGCACATCTATAGCCAGGCCCTGTGGTTGTTGGGGAGCACTGACTTGCAGAAAGGCTGCAACTTCCTGCACTTGTAGTTTATTTTTAGTCAACTTACATGAGAGAGCGAAAAGGTTCTGACAGGAAGGGATGTTTTTTCATCCCTCTTGTTTGAAGTAGGTATTCACAATGTGTTTAATTTTAAATATAACAACCTGAGTTTCAAGATATGCAAAATTTCAGTCAAAATACTCTCTCTCCTAGAAAAAGTGCTTGCTTCTGCCATTACTGTAGACAATAGTAGCCAGACTCTTATCTGGGGACTGCTTCTTGAGCTGCCTACAGAGCAAGTGCAGCCTGTGGGAAGTGGCTCAGAGCATCATACCCACGCTTTCAGCTGCCAGTGCAGATAATGCCATAGACAACACACACCACAGGAACCCCTTCCAGGGACCCAGAACATGCCTGTTCTCAGGCAAAGAGCTGGGTGGGGCAGGAGGAGGTAAGTTCTGGGGCCATACTGTCAGAGATTGACTCTGGAAAGGATTTGGGGCTGGGAATGGCTCAGGGCAGTGCATGCTTAGCAGGCACAGGTTTTCCTGCTCACCTTCAGGTATCATTGTTACACTTCCTAGCATCTCATGCAAACCCAGAAGCCCACTCATGCAGTAAACAAGCAGGTACCTATACATTCCAACTCAGGCCGTTATTAGGTGGGCAACCCTGCAGGGCCTCACTGCTGTCACAAGAGCCAAGCCAACAGAATGCATGGTCTCCCATGGTCAGCTCCCAATTTCTTCCTTTGTAAGAACAAAGGCACATACCTGTGAAGGTGTGGTACAGATGGGAAGGTGACCCCCTCTAAACCCAAGCATGCATCCAGCATTCATGTCTCCTGACGAGCTGCTGTTGTCCTAGAATCCTGCCAACTTTCTAGCCCTCTAAATACCTGGACCCTCTGACTCAGGCTTTCTGAGCATCCACTGTGGAAATCTTGTGGTTATCAAGCAACAGATCAGTTTATCTAACTGCAGAAAACTCCCTCAGCAAGAATAGGCAGATGCCACTTACATTGCCAGTAAGGCAGCCAACCTAACTAGTACTCACCCCACTGTCCCCAAAATCCCTGAAGGACTGCAGAGTCCTCTCTCAACCTCATTTGCAAACTTGACAGGCAGATGGCCAGGCAAAAAGAATCTAATCAGGGCTTTGCTCATAGCATTCTTTTACAGGATCCATCCATCCATCCATCCATCCATCCATCCATCCATCCATCCATCCATCCATGTTTTCTTGAGCCAGGGTTTCTCTGTGTAAGAGAGCCCTGGTTGTCCTGGAACTCACTCAAACTCAAGCAATCCACCTACCACTGCCTCCCAAGTGTTGGGATTAAAGGCATGCACCATTATGCTTTTAATAACATGGTCACGACAGAAAAAGATACATTTTAAATCTATTATTATTATTATTATTATTATTATTATTATTATTATTATTATTATTTTAAATAGTTTTAGGGTCATGCACAGCAAAACCTTTAGGATTTTAAAACCACTCAAACTTACCTTCTCTTTGATGACTACTGCTTGAACTCTACCTTGGTTTTATTCTGCCTTAAGGCATGAATGCAACTATTTCTAAGAGTCATCCATAATACTCAACACTAAATCCAAACTAACCGTGGACTGTGAGCTTGTGAGTGACTTCTAGCTTTTAGTTTCTAAAATGGGCATGTATTCTTTTAATAATGAGGGGAAAACACAGTATATTTTGTTTACAGGTAACAGTGTAATTTATCCTATGTCAAACTTCAAATTATTCTGATTTTTTACTTTTGAAAACTTTACTGCTTTCTGGCCTCAGTTTGATTTTTCAAGCTTCTATTGCATTGTAATTAAGATAGCTCAGAGGATCAATTCTTCCTCTCTAACTCTTTCTAATATGGAAGTCTCAGAGTAAATATACAATCCAGAAGGCAGTGATGATCTCAGGTGACTTCAAGCTGACAGCAACTTTCTCCCTTGTGCCTGGATGAACCGAGGAGGAAATGGCAGTATATCATCCGGGTTTTGCTGGCTTTTAGATGACAGAAAGAGAAGGGAGCACTTTCCCCCTAGTGCATCATGAAACTCAGGTGAAGCAGCAGCTGTGTGGGATGGTAACCTTGCCTCCTGAAGGGGAGCATGCCATTTAATATCCACCTTTTCAAAGTCACTGATGGGAAGGAAAGGTGACATATCCAGACCCAGCTTTGGGTTTTATGGGTAGAGATGCTGGCTGGCAACCCAGCCACTCCTCTCAAGATTGTAGCTTTGATTCTCAGGATCCAACTAAGTGAGTTTCTGTGTCTTAGTGGGCCCTACTGCAGCAGCAGGCATGATGGAAGTCAGTCCTAAGGAAGGTGTGCTAGTTAGTATTGTGTCAACTTGACACAGGCTATAGTCTTCTGAGAAGAGGGAACCTCACTCAGCTGAGAAAATCTGAGCGGTATGAAAAAGCAGGCTGAGCAAGCCATGAGAAGCAAGTCAGTAAGCAGCACCTCACCATGGGTTCTGCTTCACTTCCTGACTCTAGGTTCCTGCTTTGAGTTCCTGCCCAGACATCCCTAGGGATGTATAAACTACAGGCTGAAATGGCCCTTTCTTTCCCAAGTTGCTTTTGGTCATGGTATTTATCACAGTAATAGAAATGTGAATGTTCAGCTTTCTGTCAAAGAACAAGATTATTGAGAAATGGATCAGAACTTAAGTGCCCTTAGCTAGAAGCAAGTGAAATGTTAGGAATGTCAACTGTGAGAACTGGCAAATGCCTGCTGGTGCTCATGCATCATGCAGGAGTGGAGGGAGGTCCTGTTTGGTGACTCTGAGGAATGGCTGAACCAGAATCGTTAAAGGGGTAGGAACCCTGAGCTTTCTTAGCCTAGGTGACCAAAACTCTTAGGAGAATTTTCACTGTTAAGCACGGACACTGAGTGTCAGATGGCCATGGTGGGGACTGGGTTAGAAGAGCAGAATCTGCTGGGCAGTGGTTGGAACCCCAGCTCAGACACTCATATAGCTGACAACTTGAAGTCAGCAGCAAGTTCAGAAAGGACCTGAGCAGAGAGGACAAGAAGACCTGAGCAGAAGAATGGAAGACTACTGATGTTATTTCAGTTTTCTGTAAAAATATTATGAATTATTGTTAAGATGGAAAAATAGTGGGCAGACTTGGAAAACAAGCATATTTAAAACTGCTGTGGTTAGATTCTGAGAATACCAAGATTGATCAGCTTAGGGCAGAACCTTGAGCCCAAATCCCAGGGCTCAGCCCTCTGAGCCTCTTCTGTCTGTGTCCTGATGTATTCTCTGAGTGTACTTATTACATTAATGGAGAGATGACAGAATACCCACAATGCTCAACTGGACCAAAAGAAGAGGTTCTGAAGGTGACCTTCAAGTGGGACAAATCAGAGGCCATGACCTTGGAAGTAAGGGGAGAGGAGCTCTTGTGTGTGCAGTCATTAGGCTGAGTTGGCCAATCCTGATGGGG